TAAGCTCCATTATGGGGGTCTGAAAATTAAGTTATTTAACCTTTATCGTACGTGCATACATTTATTTGTACATTAACCTTTATCGGACGAACTGCTGTGCCATATAGGGCATTTTTCCATGGCCTAAAGGTACAGATGCTGTACCGCAACTTTTTGGACAAATCCTCTGATATTAAGTGAATGATTGCTCAGTTAGCGAGTGTTTACGAGCTTCGTAGAAAATATCTGGCAGTCAGCACTTACGCAGGAGATTTAAATCCGTCCGATAAAGGTTAACGGGACTGGAGAGGCTTCAGAATCGGCCCACGAAAATGATGGAGACACGAGGACTTCAGAATGTGAGACGTCAAGAAGCGTTGCAACCGGTTGCAACGCTATTTACTCGAAAATTTAGCGAGAAAGGAACTCATCCACATACATTAAGCCGATAAAGGAATCTATTAGGAGTGCGGTAGGTTAAGCAATTTTTTCCCTTTAAATGCGATGGTCAGAGCAGAACGAGGTAGAACCAGTTCGCGCATGTCGTCTGCTGTCCCAATTTCCATGTCTTGAAGGCTTTTGAGTACATGCTTGTGGCTTCGAGTTTTCTCATCCCCATGATCGGAGTTGAACTGGCAAGGCCGCAGTTACTTCATGGCCATCTCTTCGCAGGTCCAAACCGTGTCCCACCAGAGTCATAGCTATTGTGTTCAGTCAGGGACTATGACTATGTCTAATTGGTCACCGTGATGAGTAGAGAGAACTCAAGTTACGAAGAGACTTTCCTGCTGAATCTAATTTTGTCACAATTTGAAACTTACTTAAAGTGTCCTAATTTTGGCACGATGCATACAAGTCAAAATTGTCATTCTTGCCGTAGAAAATGAAATTCATAAGTAGTTCGTTCGCAAGTAAATTGATTTTGGTTCACCTGGAGTTTATTTTCATTATAGGTGATCTATGAAACAGAAGAGGAGGACTAGTCATTTAAAAAAAATTTCATATTGTAAAATGATTTTCTGAAGCTGTCGAAACTCTAGTCGATTTCATGGCACGTTCGTGTAACGAGTTTATTCAATGTCGCTTAACTCTTTGGTGTTGCCATTTCATTGGTGGACAGTGCATAAAAATGCTGGCTGGTCAATGGTCAAAACAAATTCTTTGATTTCGTTGATTGAATTCTTCAGAGCTGCTTGCGATACCTGGAAAAAATACGGTGAAGTCAATACAAAAAAGCTAGCCCGGAGACCTTCGTACAACCGCCCTTTCGATATCTCGATGTCACAGTGATTGTAGGGATTTCTCAACAGTGCCTCAATGAGAATGGTTTCCTCCAAATCGGAGGCAGCTTCCACTTAACGAGGAGAAAAATATTAATGTAGATGACGTCTTGCAGGTGTGTACTACGTCTAAGTCGAATGTCATTACAATAGGCTGCACAAATGCCATTAATCCGCTCACTTTATTTCGGTAACTTATTTATTTCATCCCTTTTTTCCCCCTCCAATTACGATGCACAAAGGAAGGGGGTGTCCTCTTGACTTCACACCCAAACGCTGACCTTGAGATAGGGCATCCCTTCGCGGTCCATAATGGATGAGACGCGGAGAGATGTCATGAGCTCATGAGTTTTCAAGGTCAGAAGGCAGTGACTTTTAAGGCGTGCTGCACCCATATTTACAGTACATGAAAAGCAGGGTAGTGCGTATTTTCCCCCTACGCAAAACTGATATCGACGGAAGCGGGTGAGTCGCCTGGCGGCGTAGAAAGAACCCCAATCCAGTCCGTCTGACAACGAGTCGATTAGACGACCTTGGAATCCAAAAAACCGTGGGCATTGAACCCAAACTCGTTTTAGTGAACGGGAAGTTTCGTGAAGGAAGCGCATTCGAGCACAATTCGTTCGGTATTGCAAGATTCCTGTAAAAATTTTCGAGCGTCACCCTGGCCTATCGTAACATCGATGATTTGGAGTACAAAACACTAAACCTGGCAGATTTTTACGAATCCTCATGTAAACTAAACTCGTCGATCTTTGACATTTTAAAAAGTTTGGGATTACGAAACGCTATTCTTCCACGGCAGGTCCTCCGATTGTGCAAGAGATCGTGCCATACAAGTGCTTCCTATTTGCTGATTTTTTTTCCCCATTCATATTTTGTGGAACGGAGGAAAGACGTGACCTATCAATGCATATCCTCTTTCTTACTTTTCCTCTTTTGCTCAAGTTGCACAAGAGGATCTTTCACTTTCACCGATTCTCGCATGCATCCGCATTTTTATACCGACGTGGACCTCCTATGAATGGTAGGAAACTCGGGGAAAGCCGAGAATATTTGTCTTTCGCATTCGCGCCTTTCCTTCTCCATACCAGACCGAGGGAGGGGGGTTATATGGTGTTTCGCACATTATCATTCCCGTAACGGTAACCCCCTAAGTGAAAGTGGTATTTTTTGTCTTCGTTTGGCTCGCTGAACTTCCTCATCCCACAAATTCCCCTTTCTTTTCCCGGTATTGTCTCGATGTCATGAGTCCCTCAGCCGAGTGTCACCGGCATCAGATGCATGCAATGCTTTTCGAATGATGCTCGACAGGACACGTTGCACGACTTGTACCTTGGCAAGACGCATCGACCCCAGACAGAAAGTCGGAAAACAATCGTCGCAAGAAGTACTGTACAGTACCTTACTTCGAGTACTTCGAGGATCGAGTACTTACAGTACTCGATCTTGGATCTCTTCTGGCTTCTTGGAAGTACTCGATTGGATTTCTGGAGGGTGGCAGGAAAAGATAAACACGATCATGTCATGGTGCCTTTCATCCGCGATGATCAAATCCCGATTTCTTTTTCGTTATTCCCGTCGTCGTCAAGCGAGAAAGTCGCGGTATGAGACGGGAGGCCACCGAGATGCCTTTCTCGAATCGGCACGAAGGCCTTGTAAGACTAAACGGGTGAAAGCGGAATGGAATCCCTCGAATCCACGTAATGCATGCACGATCCACGAATGTCCTGCAATCACGACGGGTTTCGGATCTTGCGAGATCGCATTCCGTTCCGTGACCCTCTAGCATGTCACCGAGGGACAGAACGAACCGGATCGAAGACCGAAATGTTGCACACGTGATTTGTGGGATCGAATCGGTGATCCAAATAGTGAATTGGGAGATTCTACGAATTCAGTGAGCAAATACAAGGTGTCCACAAAGTGACTATACGCAACTCTCCTACAATTGAATTCTAGGTAACGATTTATTTCTTTTTTAAATGTAAACTGATTATCTGTAGACCTCGAAATGACCACAAGTTTCTCATTCATTTTGGTGTGGATGAGAATTAATTTATCTGACCTTTGTATTAAGTAAACCAACTCGGTGCTTCAACACGTCTTCAATTGAGCGGTACAAAATTAAAATTCCACATGGAATATCATCAGCATGCCAGTTGTGGAATAAGTGGACCTTCTAGCTTTGGTGTTTTCTTGATTCACATTTTACTCAAAAGGAGTATCCAATAATGAAAAAAAAAAAAAAAAAAGTGCACCTGCAGATTGTCGGGTCCTCTGTTTTTTTTTTTTTAAGAGTCAGAGAATTTAATGCTGTCAAAAACCAGTAGGAGGAAAGATGCGACATCATTCGAAGTCTACAGATCGTCGAAGTCATTGAAATAAATGATTACTTCAGATTCGATGCCGAAAAAGTTACAGCCAGTCACTTCGAGGACACCTGGCATGCATGACGATTTGCATTCTCGAGAGGAAAGAGTTGCAGAGAGAAACTCGGTCTTGGCCTTCCACGGAGAGCAACTCCGACTTCTATCGCAACACCCATGTGCTTCTCGAAACGGTATCACGTGAACGAATCCAAGGACTCGTTGGTATGGAAAATGCCGATGTCGGGGTGCACGGTGATGTAGGACGAGCTGAATTCATTTTATTTCAATATTTTTCTTGGATCCTCTTCCCTTTGATAAAAAAAGGGACTCATGCAGCCGCCCGTACGTCTTTGTGCATTATTAACGTTTGCGTGCTCCTTCTAGCTTCGTCGCCTTCTTACTACTCGCAACTTGACATTTATTTGATTTTCAGACATTTTCGTCCCAACTGTTATAACTGAGCATAAAAAATATGCCCACTGTCTCCAGCCATACACTTGCATTCCTCTCGTCTTTATACCCTTTACTCTTCGTATACCCCTTTATTTTGCCTGTACTATCCTTGACGTTGCAAAGAGCCGTACCCAACTTTCTTTTTTCTCGGCGGTGGAGAGAGTGTTAACAGAAATTCTCCCGTGGTATAATGACCTCAGGAAGCCGCCGGAGGGGACAGTCGGCCTTCGCACGTTACACAATCTTTCTCCCTCTTGTGCGGCATTGAACCCTCGTCTCTTCTCCCCGCAGTCAAGTAACGGCCATCCCCTGGCATTCGTGCGCTCCTTTATTTTCTCTTTTTCGCTTTCTGGGAACGTGGCATATTGTCTCTGTGGGTGACCTAGTTGAGAGAGAGCATTGTCTCGTGGAGGCCACTTTCCTCTCTGTTACGTCAGCGTCTGGTCGCGATCATCCAGTACCTGGCGTGGCAGGGATCCGGAAAGACCAGCATCGGTCATCAAAGTCAAGGTCGAGCGACCGGGAGCCCCGTTGCAAAAGATTCATCCTCCAGCGAATCGTTCGTGACCTCCGACTCCTTTTCACTCGAGTGCGAATTCCATCATCTTACGTGATGTCGTTGGCGGCGGTGACTCAGTCCGTCGACTTGTCTCCTCGCCAGGCCAGCGACATGTGACTCGGCGAGTCCGTGCTAGAAGCTCGTCCTCTGTGCATCAAACACAACAGTGATTGTGCATCAAACACAACAGTGGGCCCGAGTGCTATCTGTACGTCCGTCCGCCAGGAACTCGTGTGACTCCACGTGTCGACTGAAAGCTATCAACTCGTCCACGCGTAAAGTCGTCGTGAATGAGTCCAACTTGTTCCTTGCCGGTTGCTTTGTAGAAAAAAAATCCTTCTTATCGAAGTTTCTTCCGTTGAAAGGCATTCAGAGGGGAAAACAGACGCCTCGAGAACGGAGAAGATTCTAAAGCAAGGTGATCTTTCCTTATTTGGCCTCCTCAGCTCCTTTTCTGTCAGTGTGATGGGCGAGATATGGAATGTGAGAGTATAACCTAGGGAGAGCAGGCTCATGAAAATGTAATCATATCAGGATAGCAGAATATCGTCTATTTCCGTACTTAACTCGGAATAGCCATTTATGAGAGGGGCAATGCCTGTTCTACCTTGTATGGACGGCATGAAGCTTCTTTATTTCAGGAAGGAAAGACGAGAGAGAAATGGGGGGGGGAAATGATAGTCAAGGTCCGATGCAACGACCTCATAAACTCTAGGGGATCCGTCAAGAGAGGAGAGAAATCCAGAGTTTTAGCCACATGAATAGTACCTAACTTTAGCGGATCGCTTGCAGTTTCACCTCAGTGCAGAATTGCCTAATAAATATTAGCGTTTAGGGTTCGCGGAAGAAGCTGTAGTTTCCAAGATGAGGGTATAAGCCATCATCGTTCCAAATATGCCATGCGGGCTATAAATTTTTTTTATTGGTTCAACATATTACCCCATTCCCCAAGAACTAATTTGTTTCCGTTTCCCTCGATGGACAAAATTAATATCGGTTTACCTTGGCAGCAGTGGCAGCCATTCTGTCAAATGAAAATTCTGCATTTAGCTAGAAGGAAAGGTGTGATTTCGAGTTTAGTGTGGCTTACACTGGGTGTGATATTCAGTGTAGTATTCAGCCATCGATACCGATGCTTACTTGAGATATTGTCGTAGCAGAGGATGGAATGTGGAGATCATGGACCTCGGGAACTGCTAGCAACAACATAACGTCAAAATGACTGGTTTTGTGAGGGTAGCGACCGAATGAACATGCCTTCTATGGCTCGTAGAAGCCTGTGGGTATGCTCTATGGTATGCCCCACGATATTGGCATGGAAAGAGCAAGGGCCGCGCTATCTCCATACCAAAGAATCCTCTCGGGAAGGTGGAGTCTTTCTTTCTTTCCGGGTGAGAGGAAGGAAAGTGTGATGTCAACATAGGTTAAGGAACCTGCTGTTCCTTCATCACACGTGTGAATTTGTTTCTTTTTTTTTGTCTTTTATCAATTGCAATTGATCTCGACTGCAGAAATACTCTAGAAACACGCCAAAAGTTCGTTATGCTCTCTGCCAGGAATATTTTCATAATGTTTATTCGCGTTTCACGGGAAGTTTTTCTTCTAGATTTCCTAGTTCTTTGGTTCATTTCATTACTACTGAAATACTTGCGGGTTTGACTTCGCCGCGTATTTTGCTAAATTTATGCTCGAGACCGTCCAAATGAGAAATATCTGAATTCCTCTTCGAACGTATTCGGATTCGTTCGCAGCTTGTCAGTACTGTCGAAAGTCTGTGCTAAGTTTCGATGGAATTTCAGCAACTCCCAGCAGGCAGTCCAGGGGTGCAGTTCGTGTGCCCCCAATTCCCACGTGAAGTAAACATCTCAATGACTTACTTTTGCGATGACTGGCGACTTTCATGCGTCCCATCGCCTTGAAACCATTTGACTCGTGCAATTTTGGGTACCTGTCATTCTTCACCTTTCGGTATTTTTTCGATGTCTCTTCTCTCACATACCGAACCAAAATTTGTGACCATTTTTGGATGCAATGTACGATTCTTGTCCCGGATGAGAGTGACTAATCAGGGAACTTGCAGCTTCCTGGTTTCAGGGTCAACTGCATCGTCAGAATATCAAGGTCAGATTTGGAGGAATCCGATCGATGATAGCCACCAACTTCGATTCTCGTTTCCTGCTGCGGGAGGAATAGATGAATCTTATCTTGATGTCATCTTCGAAGCCTCCTGTTTCATTGTCATAGTGAATCGGGGAAAGCCATAACGGGATTGTAGAGGAAGCGGGCAGTAGTTCACGTCCGTCTTTGTCACTTGCCTGGGCCAACTCAGAGGTCACAGAACCCTCGACCCACTTCTTCCAAAACGCCTTCTCACCCGAGTAATGCTCCGCTTTTCGATCCTCGCGAAATTCTGATCGAAAAGTATTGGCATGCGAAAAAGCGATGGGTAACTTTAAGGGAATACGCTCTTTCCTGAGAGGAAAATATTCCTCAAGCTCACATCTTTCCTCTAGACAAGTTCGTCAGAGCTTCAAGAACATTCAAACGTATGTCATGCTGATACATTAAAAAAAAAATCATGATAGAGTAGACAGATTTGCAACTTGCTGCATACATCTTGTGAAGTTTGGAGGGCTTGCACTCACCTGCAACTCGCAAGCAAAATGTTTCGTGGCGGAAATCTCTGTGTATCGAGGTGAGTCGCTTGACACAGCGTCCGCTTTGCTTCTAGATCGAGGGTGTCAAACTGGCTGTCTGCGGGCCGGATCCGGCTCGTCAGTTCATTTTGTCCGGCCCGCGAAGTCCTCTTCAACAGTCGATAACGAAAATGTCCCGAAAATTTCAGCCTGTTTGCATAAAAGATAGGTATTAGGCTTTTATTGTGGCCCCTAATCATCCCCGAAGGCTTCCATCCGGCCCCCAGCCAAATCGAGTTTTACACCCCTGTTCTAGATGCTCCTTGCATGAAACGAAGGGGCTCTCATGATGCCCAAGTACGTTATCGCCGATGCCAGTGGGAGTTTTCTAAAATGGATCTCAGCAGGGGCAGCGTTCGTGCTCGTAGGCGAGGCAAAATGCTGAGACTATAAGACGAGGCGACTATAAGTAGCTGAAAAACTTTCAGGCGGAGTATCTTCTATTTCGATGAGGTTTACAATACTTCCATGAGAATTATTACCCAAATGGAGGGCGCCTCCATTTGGGTAATAATTCTCATGGAAGTATTGTAAACCTGACAGTATGCTGAAAGTATCGCTGACAATGACAAGAAAAAAAAGCCATGGGAAAAGGGTAGTGCTGAAATCAGCCCAAGCAGGCCACTTCCAGGGATCGCAGTATCTGATTTCATACCTCGAAGACTGAATTAATGCAGGAGTCTAGCAGACTGTAGACCGATAAGTATTTTACTGATGGCTTCTCAATGAGCGAGACTATATTGACAGCCATATAGGGCAGTGTACTACAGGACTAGAATTAGAAGGGAAGCAGCAGAACGCGATTGTTGCTTTAACTATGTTGCGTCAGTAACAGGAAATGTATGGGAGAAATTTTTTTTTTGTCTGGGATGAGAGCAAATAACTATGTTCTAAAGGTACTGTTTAATTAGAATTTCTGGACCATACCACATTCAAGGTATGCTGTCATTCTTGTTTTCATTTTGAGTCTGTCACATGAGTAACTTTGGAACTGCCAATACCTGAATGAAGCCAATCCGGGTTGCCCGTTCCAGCTAATTCATGAAGGGAATCTTCTCTCGATCGATCTCGTGTCATTTGTGTCAGCTGAACGAAGCGATACCCAACGAAACGTCCATTTCTGCTCTCTCCATTCATTCGATCAGATTTTGGAACAAGTTCACAGGATGATTGAAATTCCATAGAAAAGAGGTCAAGTTTTTTTTTCTATAGACATATTATTGCGAAATGGCGACCACCCTATGAGTTTCGAAAAGTGAATAATCCCCTCAAGGACAAAGAGCAGCAGGACTTGATTACCATCTCTAAAGATGGAAGTACTGAGCCTCGCACTTTTTTACATGCTGGTTGCAAACGCCATCTACGCTATCATCACTCACGCACGCATGAAAACGCAGAAAAGCTCCAACGGTTGCTCCTCGTGGGCTGTTGCGGTTTCCTTTTCACAACACACTGCACACTGCGGCGTCACAGTTGGGAGTTGTTTGCGTGTTGAGGCCCCGCTCGTCTCGTTTACAAGCAACATGGGATATATGCAAAATGTCGACTGAACTTTTGAAGAAAAAAAAAAGGATCTCAGTTCCGGGTCCATGGAGATAATTTAAAACTTCTTAGAAATTTTAAAATATTTATCAATAAATTTGTTAATGTGAGTGTTAAATCAGAACGTGTGCAATGCTAATTTAGAGCGTAAGTTTGTGCGTACTATTTAGTACTGCAGTGCAGTTCTTGAAATTTCCAAATTGACTAGGAATGCAAAAATTACAAGGAAATATCATGGATCTATTCTTCGTTAACCCTACAATGCATTTTTTTCCGATCATATTTTTTGCATGTTGTCGATGAGAAAAATAAGGGAAAAATTCTCCTTTCAATTTGGTTTTTCCATTGTACTGTAACGCGTTTCATTGCGAAGCAGAGTGTGCCATACCTTGCACACCATGCATTGTAGGGTTAAAACACAACGGTATCTATTCCTCCGGGGTCAATATGCATTTTTCAGATAAGTATCAATACTTTTGTCCCGGTTCTTTTAGATGCATATCTTCGTTTGAGACCCCCCGAAAAGACCAAACACAAGAAAAAGAAAAGTTCAACGACACCTGTCGAACTCGATCTAATAACTCATTATCTGGGTCGATCTGTGATCTGGATAATAAGTACTAGTCAGTACTTAAAGAACTGGATCAACACGTGAGACCCGCTAAAGTCCAATCTTTCCGGGTGGAAAGAGTTAAACGGTAACTTTTGTCGGAATCGGTTGGAGTATTTTACCTCTCGGTCCTTGTGTGTTTTTGAATATTCGACCCTGGTGAGTGCTTTCTCTGCTAGAAAAGTAATTCAAACTTCCAGATGGCGGATCATGTTATTCGTATCATTTAATCGTAATTTGATTCGTTGACATCTACTTAGTGTTTTTGCCACAGACTGGTCAGTGGGCATTGGATGACTAGTACTTTTACGGTCTTCAGAACACTCGAAATCTGGCAGACTTCGACGAGATCAGTGGTTTTTCCTTTACGTCGATCGGTGAGAGAGGAAGAGGCAAAATAAGCTATTTTTGGGACTTTTATACCGCAAGAACTTATGAACTTATGGGGGTCACAATAAAGATTACGATAAAGAAAAGTCTCTTTGCTGAACGTGGGCTTTTCATCTATGTTTCATTATGTTTCATATGATACGGCATCGTCACGTTGTTCATTTGGATTTTCAGGGGTAA